ATCCACTGGATGAATGACTGCCGTAGCACCCAACCGCCAGGCTTAGCAAGTTTTCTGGGGAAACCTTGAGCTGCATATAAAAAGAGTTAATTGCATGATGACGTAGTGATGAAGATCTTCATCACCACCTTGAATTTAGCAGAACAGAAAAATAAATGCACAAACTCACAGGGTATCAAGCTTCTTAAACTCGGGGATGGGCTCCGGCTGCTTGCGGGACATGAACCAATAAATGACGAGGCCCACAATCAGAGAGAAGAGGAAGAGGTCCAGGTTGCTGAAGAGAGGCTCCTCTTCGCCTGCAGTGTTGGTGGCGGTCTCTGGGTCCATGTCGGCCATCTTGGCGCTCAGCGCTACAATATGAAAGAGAAGGAAAACATTTTCACTAAATGAAGGATTACTGAATACATGCAAAACACTTATCGACTATTGTGCAAGATCAAATTTTAAAAGTTTTTTTTTTTTTTTACACAAGCTACGCATTTCTGGAAATTAAGTAAGTAAATACAATCTGTTTGTTACAGCCTATTTCAGCTTCACGGCTCAACATCCCTGAGGATTCAGGAAATTCCTAAAGGGAACATGATTGCCAGCATATGTTGTAAAACACAATGAATGCTTTTATGCTAAACTTCTGGATAACGCGCCTTACATTTGGCTCTGCACAACCTAACATTGTAGCCCAGTGTCCTGGATAAGCGAGGAATCTCCAGTCGTGCACCAACGACATCAACTCGTTAACGCTGAGCAGGAGAGGACATCGTGTTCTTTCAGTTTGGGACGAGAAAACAATGAGTACAGGGTTTGTTTGTTTTTTTCCTAACCTCCGCATTTGGCTTGATCACTACTCCAAAAAGTGACACAGCAAAAGCAAACAAAAAAAAAAAAAAAGAAACATGCTGGACAAAGTGCTGGCTCTGCACATGTGCAGACTGTTGCTGATTCACTGAAACATTAAGTAAACCAGTTTATGAGGCGTCTGCTGTTCATTTTAGCAGGAGCAAAAGTCACAGTGGGCTTAGGTTGCATAATGACGTCTGGTTTGGACAAAAGAAAACTCCTTCCTGTAATTCCTGTATGGAATACGTCATTATAGACCATTCTATGGAGATATTCACTTCAGAAAAAAGATTTTCTGGATAATATTTTAGCCGTTATCCAATCTGCTGCTTGAGCAGAACAGCATATTGACATTTAATAAACAGTTAATGAACAACAACAACCCTTTTTAGCAATCTTCTGATTTACATGTGATATGTTCCAATTGTTCTGTAGTACTTTAGAGGAAAAATAGGCAAACCTTCACATTATTAATCAGACAAGACAGAATCTCGCCTTTCTCCGAGTGGACCAAACTACACTGTGAGCCAATTCAGTATCAGTCAGGCACTTAAAACCATGGGAAACAGAAGCCATTTAAAAAGGAAATTGTATTTTCCCTCAACATGTCAGAACATGTCTGATTCATTCAGGGTGTGAGAGTTGGCAGCCTTTTTACACAAAGTTCAGGTAAGAATATAGATTCTTTAGGAATACACACCAAGTGCCGTTTTAGTAATGCCAGCAATGCCAATTGGTAATACAAGATGTTAAGCTTCATAATTACTCTCCTTTTTAAAAAAAAAACAATAGGATTAAAACCCTGTTATACAGCAACTACTCTCTCATATAAGTGGTGTAACATTAGCTTTTGTCTAAAGAGAAATAGTTAGTGACAATAAACATGCCAGCAAAAAGACACTGAATACTGTCCTTACAATCCATCTTACAACTTTTTAAAACTTTACAGAAAATTCAGAAATTGGTTTCCAACTTCTGAAGTAATATAGCCAAAAAAATATTTATGCATCAGTAGAAATCTGGTCAAATTCAGGTCAAAAATCTTTATTGGCCACTATAACTACTATCAAATTTATAAAAGATATCAATACGTTTTAATTATAATTACTAATCAGTATTAAAATTTAATCGACACTGTAAGCATCTTACAGATGTAGAAATTAATCTCTCAACCAACAGAAATCTAAACTTTTTATAAAGTGATGTACCATAGGAAAAAACAACAGCGTCAATGCCAGCATTTCCTTGCTATTTTTGAACAGCGTTTGGATTTAGGTGCTTTCAGATGAACTCCATTTTGGTCTGCGGTTGCCACTAATAAATATTGTATTAATTACCGTGTGCTTTGTTGTATATGCACTACTTTGCTATTGATGCTTGTTTATACATCTGTTGTCATGGTTTCTTGTTTCTGTTTTTTTTCCTCTCCCTCTCTTTCTGCAGGTGTAGAAACAGACTTCTAAGAGTTAGCTTGTATCGTCTTTATCCATCTCCCTCTTTCCGTTTTAACTTTTTACCACAAACCTCTCTTTTTTTTCCCATTTTTATTTCAGTGCCCATAGAATTTTAAAAACCCAAAGCAATTTCAATATAGCTGGCTAGACAGAGCAATAACGCTTCACTTGTGACAGTAAATTTGTTGGGCTCCACTTTGACATGCAGACAACAATTCTGAGAGCCACAGTGCTGGACAGGACACCCTATAAGTCAAATAAAATAACAATGGTTAATACAACTATAATAAAGCTATCTAACATTTTCTTATTGTGCTAAACTTGAAGCAGAAATATAGACTTACTGGAGTTAGTAGTTGTCAGGTAAATCAGTGTAATAGTTAGAATATGTGGTTTATGCAGTTCTACTCTCAGGTTACTAGTTGTACTAAGCTTATATTAGCGAGTGGGTCTCCTGTCATGGTGACCAGTCTGCAGTCAGCTTGCCAACTGTAGTTTTAAAACCGAGCAACTTTAATAAGAGTGGTGCATGGTCCTAACTTAGTTAATGCAATGGCTGTAAATATTTCTGGACTGTCAATTCTGCCTTTCTTGTAAGCAAGAACAAGTGTAGGGATTTTTCTAACAGCCAGCAAACTATCAGTTCTCAACAACAGGTGGGGAAGGAGCAGAGCCGCATTAATACTCTAAGTTGCATACAGCCAGAGAAAAATCTGGCCACTGCAGCTCTCTCTGTGGCAGCTCACTAAAAGGACTTTAAACCAAAGACGCTGCATGAGATAAAATAAACACCATCACTACAAATGACCAAGTCATGCCAGCTAACCTCAAGCATAGTTATCTCTCCCTGCTGGATTAATTACCAACCATTTAAAGGCAACCTCGGTACACCACAGCAACAAAGTGCCATAAACCATTAGCTTACTGGTTTTCATTCATGGAGATCATAGACTGAAACCAGTAAGGTTGGTTCAACAAGGATAAGTCAGACCCATTTCAAAGACAACTCGATGTTTTCATTTATGACCCTAATCAGGTGAGGGACATAAAAAGTCAACAATACCCTCCCTGATCAGCTACATAACCTCTGCTGTTGGCTGACACGATCACAAGACAATTTGGTGGAGAGTTTAATTATTTATCACTTACCTCAGATAAATGGGTTTCTACAGCTTCTGTCAAAGCAATAATAAATATTTACTTATTAGCTAGCAGAGGCGGTTTACAGAGCGCCATCCTGCAGCTCTAAAGGAGAGAAGCAACTTTTGATTTGTCGCCAATTGTGCAACAGTCCAGACCATGACGCCGGTTTCCACCGGCTTTTGTAAAGTCCCACGTGTTTAGAGCTGCGAACCAGATTTTTTTTAAAAAATCTACAGTCACTCTTTTTTGCGTCATGTCTTCACTACTGGGAATAAAACTCGTATGTTGGATCTGAAACGAATCGACAAGGACCGGGCTATGACTAAGTCCTGGATTATGAAAAGTGGCTGTGAAAACTGCACTGAACGCAAACAAATGCATAACCGTGCTTCATACCCTGACACATAAGTGTAAATTATTCCCCTTTAACCGTGAAGCGAACCGGAGCTGCCACGAACTAATCCCCGGTTTGCGTAACACTCGGGTCTGAAGCTAACATGTCGCTAAAAAGCTCAAAACGTTTCTCCGCAGTGTGAACCTGTGACGTTGCGGTGAGTGTCGTCTCTCCCAGCAGATTGCCGCAGAGTGAAATTGTCCGTAACAGGCTAGAAAATGTGAGCAAAGAGCGAAGCTTACCTGCTGCTCTCCTCTTTGTGTTGGACTCGGACTGGACTCAATGCGGAAGGAAACTTTACGCCATGAAGGACCAAACCAACTCCGTCCAATCAGCGGGGGGTGGGTGTGAGGACTCGTCCAGTCCGAGTCACTCCGTCATACTCAAGTTTTCCCTTTTAGGGAAGTTACAGATCTATTTGTCATGTTTTAGGGTGGACGTTTTGCTTATTGTGCAAGTTTTTAATTCCTAGTTATTTGTGTTATTTTACTATTTGGGAGCGATCAGCGGGAATCTCTCGTCACATGTTATTAAATAACTGTCAAGGAGCAGCAGGCAAAGGGTCATGGTTATGCAACTCAACCAGCTGAACTGAGTTGGAAGGCAGATTCATCAAAGGCGTCCTCCTCCAAGTTAAACACTGTTTATGTTCACAATGTCAAGGACGTGAGGCTGATACAGCCCTGCTGCCTGATGTGAGGCCTTCAGCCTGCAGGCACATCTGTATTTGTTTTACTAAACTGAAATGTAAAATGCACAGCACAGTATGTAACAACGTTTAGATGTGCCTCAGCTGCACCACACCTGAATAGAATAATTAGGTCATTAGCAGGCCTCTCCACAGGAAGGAGGTAGTTAAGCCATTTCATTTCAGTGTTTTGTACCTGTGGCACATCTAAAAGCTGCAGGATAGTGGCCCTTGAGGACTGGAGTTTGACTAGTGAAAAGAGACGCTCTCTGCAGTGAGATTTTTAGCTTTTAGGTTGTTTTATAGGTGAAATGTTTCTTTCACAAATCTGCTTGTCAGTTAATTCCAGGAATCCTTATGGGACTTTCTAGGTTTCCTTTTCCTTAAAGCAAAACAAGAAAAATTAACCTTGATGTTTTTAAATTGAATTCACTTTCTACTGACACATTGAAACCTCCTTCATTTATTTTTACTTTTGAGATAGTTTTTTTTTTCAAACTGTTGTCCTTTTCACTTAAGTCAACAATAGTGCTATAATTCTGTAAAAATTACAGGGTAATTTCTTTTGAAAATGACTATTAAAAACCAATAACTTTTTCATCTTTGCAATACAACCCATAAAAACTGGTTAGGAGGTTAGATAATATACCATACAAAATAAAACTTTGGTATAGATGTGGTGCAAGAAAAAAAATCACACCTCTAACATTTGTCCAAAAAAAATTTAAAAAAATTTGGGGGAGACTTCTGACATACTTGAGATGATAAAACATAGTTCAGGTTCCTTACAAAATAAAAAGCAGGTAAACGTACAGTGAGAATCACTCGCCAACTTTAGCTTGATCAGACAACCAGGGTAGCACTGCAATACATTTTTGCTATGTCTACAATTGTGCACACATTTATTTTCAATTTACAATTTTTATACAAATAAGCAATATAAAAACATGTTCAGAGTGCAACCAAACACTAACTTAACAGTCATTAATAAAAGGAATGCTTTGTACTTTGCAATATCTCAAAGTACATTTTGTAAGACTAACAATTACATTCCTGTTTAATCCATTCCTTTATGACTGCTTCTCTATTTTATTTATTTTATTTGCATTTATTTCCACACTGCATGTGTGGTTATCCATGTAAGAGTCAAATTCAAGCTTAGATCATAAATTTTTACTACAGAGGATAAATGGAAACTGTATGATATGATCCAACAACCGTCACGCCTCTGACCTTTGTCAGAGTTCCTCAGTACAACTCATTATGCACTTTAGATCAATAATTATGTCAACTAATTACATTTTGACATGTAGAACTAACTAAGATGTTTCTTCTCTATAATACACTAATCTGGAGTTAAAGATGGCAACCCCAAACACAAGACTATGTCAAAAAAAACAAACAGTCACTCACTGGGAAGAGGATCTCTATCCTCTACTTATCCTGTCGCCACCTGATCCCTCTGGCAACTGTTCTCCTTGTGCCAGCGTTTGCAAATCAAATCATTTATTTATTGCTGGTCTTGATGTGTACCAAATTACTTCCTAAATAGACCACTACTCCTTCTGGGCATTTGACTGTAACCAATGCAATTATTCCAAACTAAGCAAACCTGGGCACTCTATATAGAAAGTACCTCATTGGCGACTCATCAAGGTGGTCACAAAATAACCAAAAACTACATCTGAAGTCTTTGAAACCTCACTTTGAGGTCAGTGTTTTCTAATCCAGTAAGCAGAGAAAGCAAGCAAAATGGCGTCCGTGAGAGGGTTCCAAGTTCAAAATCACTGCTGAACGAAAAGAATGCAAAGGTCCATCACATTTCACAAAGGTCTCCAAGACTTTTAGGAAAATATTCTGTGATTGGACAAGATTAAAGAGAAACCTCTGAGAAAATGTTGCTTCTCATTGGATCTAGTGCACAACTAACACAACATTTCAGATAAAGAATATCATAGCAACACATTCTTCATTGCTATAAACACACCCTCCCTGAACTCTCTGCCTTTGGGTGCAGAGGTTTTTTGCAACCCCTCACTGCATCCATCTAGATGCAGTGTGGGATATAATTTTTATCCTCATCCTACCTGATGCTATTTCATCTCATTACAGGGCAGCGTCCCCCCACCCCTCCTTCCTCTGGGTGAAGGGCTGCATCCTGAGGCACCTAATTGTTTGTTTGTGTGTTGTTCTTGGATGGGTTGGACTAAAATGTGAATTTCCCTCTGGGATCAATAAAGTATATTCATTTTAGTGAAACATGGTGGAGGTGGTGTGATCCTGTGGGGCTGCTTGATGCTACAGGATCGGAAAAACTTCCAAAAATCACAAAAAGAGAATATCTTCTCAAAATAATCAATGAAAATCAGATTTTGTATTTAGTCAGTTTGTTGTTGTCTGACATTAAGGTTTAAGATTTAACAGAAGAAATCTGTCAGTGGGTTTAAAAAATTCACAGAAAGATGTTTTGGTGAAAACTAAATCCTTTATTAGACAGTCATTTCATTCCTGCATTGTCATTTTCACACATACATAGGTTTCTTATTCGGAGAATAAGAAACCTATGTATTTTAACACAACCATAGACATACTTCCAGCTTTGATTTAACAGCATCATTTGCCATAGTCAATATGAAATCATATGGGTTTTTTTTTATTATATCCTGGGATGTGACAGGAAGCACGGTCAGAATTATTTTTGGTGAGACATAATTTCATTCCCATGTGTCTTTTTATCCGTCACATGCTCTTTGGTTTCGGATTCCTGCTTTTCGACTTGTGACGAACAACTGCGAGGGTAGTGAAGAAATTCCCCATGAACAGAATGAGGAAGCAGGCACCACACACCCGGACCTGACATGGCATGAATCAACAAAATAGCAGTGAATATTAATATTATAATATATTTCTATAATGCAGAGGACGATGGTGGGAAAATGTCATGCAGCTCTGAATTTTTATAGACCTTTTGTGCTTAGATTGAATTTAAGTATTAATACAGTTTTATTCATTCATTATAGTCTGGGGCTGTAAATGATGAGCATACGAAGGATAAGGTTGTTACGAAAGCAGGGAAAGAGTGACACAGCAGCATTTATCAGGACGACATGCAGCAATATCTGGTGTCTGAGTAGACTGACCTGCCATTCCCTGCAGTCTGGGAGCCGAGCCATTCTGAACAGAGACACACCATTCAAGAGCTGCCAGAACTGAAGACAAAACAAAAAGATGAAGCTCTCAAGGGAAACAGGAGAAGCATGCGTTTTAGTGGATCTTCAGTGTATATTTCCGAGTTACCCTTAAGGATTTCTTGTGATTTATTTATTTTTTTGTTACCATTAAATATTTCAGATCATTACTCAAATGTTAATATTTGATTTAAAAAAACAAACTCATCACAATTAAAAAATGAAAAAAATACAGTTTCCAAATGAAGATTCAATTTATTTTTCAAAAATGGAAAAGCAAAAAAGCAACAAAAAAAAAAGCAATTGCCCAAGATATATTTGCTCCTGCAATAAATTAAACCTAGTTTAAAAACAGGTTTTTGTATTCTACTATGTTACCACACAGATATTAAATCTCCGATGGATCTATTCAGCAGCAACTAGATTTTCACTGCACTGTGTCAAGGAGACAAAATTATTATCACCCACATTAAACTCTCACCCAGACTCTCAAAATCCCCTAATTTTCAAGCATTGGTTCTATGACACTGGCACTTTTCACAATTACTGCTCAATTCAAACCATGACAAATCATAATTATCATTTGTCGCTAACCTTGCGCAAACTGGTTCACAGATTCTACTCACATGACCAAAAAACAGGAAGGGCAAGAGAAACGTCAGCCCTTTCCACATCCAGGACTGGAATCCCTCTTAAAAGAGAAGAAACGGAAACAACTTAAGATGCTTCTTTTTTTTTTGTTCCCATACTTAGTACACTTTTATTTTATACATTTAAAACCATATGGTACGTGTAGCTGCGTTAATCTGTATTTTGTGTCCTTGATGTGTTTACATCTCACCAACAGTCAGATCCATGTTGTGTCTTTCTCCCAGCGTGCGAAGTCTGTACAGACATCCGCTCTGATAGTAGTACTGCAGACACTGAACAAAATCTAAAGGAGGTTTCATGACGAAAACAAACTGTGAGCATGTAGGAAATCAGAACCATGTGGTTCTTCTGTAAAAACTTTTAGCATACTTTGATATAAGGAGTAGGCAAGAAATTGGCCCCTGAACGCCTGGTAAAGGATCCCGTCTGGCCTGGAGATGTAAAAGTTGAGAAATGTGACGTTTGACGAGAACAAATGCAGTTTGAGAATTTTTTTTGTTGAAGGCTTTGTTTTTATGCTGAACTTACCATGTCAGCATCACACCGGACAGAAAGGCTGAGATGTAGTGGTGAAAAACCCACCATCCTTTGATCCTGATTTAAGATACATCTCAATCAGTTTGAGTTTCAAGTTAAGTCAGAAACGCATCAACACATCTTCACCAGTAGCGCCAGTAACTACAGAGAATTGGGATTAACCTGGATCCATTTGTGATGAGGACGCTTTCTCTGATAGTTAATGTGCCGTAGAACCAAACCAGCAGGAAGTTGAAGATTGCGTCCAGAAATCTGAAGCAAAACATTATGCATGAACATAAAATGTCCCATCGCTGTAAATATACTGAAAACGGGTGATTTCACATGTAACATCGTCTGATAATGTTTGCTTCACCTGTAACTCACGAAGAATAAACATACGAAAGAGAGCAGCAGTAAGATCACTGTAAGGCACAGCTTGAACTTCTCATATTCATCCTTGTAGGCAAATCTAGGAATGATGGGTTCGCACAACATTATACAACAGAATAAATGCATAACTTTGTTATCTGATTAAGAAAAATAAAATAGAAAAGAGTCT